ATCATAATATTAACAGAATAGATCGATAATCAATAGTAAAATCTTGCCTCGTGTGAAGTGTCTACTCATACCAACATATACTAAAACGACGTCTTGGATGTAAATGAATCGAGCAACTCGTGAGTGATTGACCCAAAATTAGGCACTGATACATTAATCAAATGTAATATTATTTGTTAGCTTATTTATTATATAATAACTATTATACGATTTTGTGAACAAGCACAAATGCAAATAAAATTTTATATGTTATATGTTTGTGTATGTAATATTTGAAATCATAAGTTAGATAATGAGCATACTACATTTTATGAATTTTATCATTTGTTAAAAAAAAATATAGATATAAATTAATAAATTACATTAATCTATATATTGGTTGCAATATAGTGATTTGTTGCAATCTTACTTGATTATGATCAATAATTAGATAAAATAATATTAAAACTATTATTATAGAATTGTGCACAAAATTTAAGGAATTTGGTTATGCCGTAAAAAAAGTAATCTATTAATATATAATAAGAATTAACATAATTCACTTTTAGAATGTCTTTCCCGCCAAAAATTTTAATTACACACTAAATATGGTAATTTTAGAATCTATTTTAAATAAAAAAATATTAATTACATTATTATAGATTCCTATTAAAATGGAATCTAGATTGTATTTAAATATTCCGTTAGATATATTCCGTTATAACATATTTGTTAGCGGATTTAATGGTGCATGCAATATTCTGTTAGCATATTTATAGCTATTTATTTTATAATGCCAATTTGTTTACACTCAAATTATCTTAATTTATCATGATCCACTTTTTATGGTAGATGTTGGGTATTTTATCTTCATATCAACATATTTTAAAAATCAGTGATATTGTCAAATCATTTTTATTTAGATTCTTGGATCCTTTGTTGTTGCATACGCTTTCAACTAATTTAAAATCAAACCTTTTCATAAAATCTCGGTTTTTATGAAAATGATTTTCTCGACTAATATTTTTTATATCTATCAAATTTTATAAGATTACTTAATATAAATAAAAATCGTTTTATCAAATCATTTTATAAAATCACGGTTTGTATGGAAATAATTTTGTTGAGTGTAATTTTTTCTATCTATCTGATTTTATAAATTATTGATTAAAAATTGAAATCACATTTTACAAATGGGCAATATTTATTTTTTATTTTTATTTGCAAACAAACTTTAAATCATCAATGGTATTAGACATGTTATATTCACAATTTGAAATTTTATAGTTTTTTTTAATAAAAATAGGTTATAAAAGTGCAATATAAACAACTACAACATTCTCAGTCTTTTCAATAAAAAATGTAATAAACAGCGTGATAACAAAAAATCTCAATTTTGATGATACACAATTAACATTCACGTGAAAAAAATATACAATATGAATAAAAATCACCATTAGCGTTCAATGGTATTAGATATGTTATATTCACAATTTGAAATTTTATATTTTTTTTAATATAAAAATAAGATATACGTGCAATATAAATAACTACAACATTCTCAGTTTTTCCAATAAAAAACATAATAAATAGCGCGTGAAAATAATACACAATCTTGATGATACACAATTAGCATTCACGTGAAAAAATACAATATGAATAAAAATCATCATAAGCGTTGAATGTAATTTTATTCCACATTATTTGTTGTTAAAACGATTAGTATGCTTATAAGTATCACATCAACCCCACACAAAAAATCACCATTGACGAACATACGAGTAATTAGTGAATCTATAATAAGTGCCAAACAAAAAATAGATCAACCTTTCGGTCTTATCGAGGAAGTTGACGGACCAAAGAGAGTTATGTTGCAACTTCGAGTGGTTCGCATGTTTGAGAGTAAATTTCGTAATTCTTATCATAACATCATAGAAATTATTTTTCATAATACTGAGGTATAATATTGCTTATTGTTTCTTTTATCTTTTCACTTTCATTTCGTTATTTCTTTGTGGAGACTTCTGACAAATACTTCCAGTCATTTCAAAGGAGAATTGTTAGGATATTGTGAATGCAACTATTAATGCTTCCACCATTTCGAGGGATTGTACTGTGTTGTGACTTTCAAAAAACATGCGTCTTCAGAACATTTCTGATTCGGACGAGTATGACAAGATAGCAACGTTTACTGATTGGATTGTTAGCATTGGAGATGGGCCTGTAGGATGATCAAACGATGGTTTACCTACATTAACATTCTAGATGTTACAAGACTGGAATCCTTCGATGATCCAATTGCTACAATCGTGAAAAGTACCTATCCAATGTTCAAGAATACAACTGACAATTCAAGATATTTGAATGATAGTGCTCTATTAGCGCCTACTTTGGAGGTCGTTGAATCTATAAATTAATACATGTCGGAGATGAATTCTGATGAAGGTCGTATGTATTTGTGCTCTGACATTATGTGGAAGTCCCACTCGAATAATGACTTTTTTGTTTTGGGCAAAATCTCCACACTTCCGAGTTCTTGAATAGCATCAAGTTTTCAGGAACACCGAACCATGAATTTCATTCGAAAATTGGAACTTCAATCATGTTATTAAGGAACGTGGACCATTCTATGGGACTGTGCAATGGAACACGCTTGGTTGTTACCAAGTTCTCTACTCATGTGCTTGAATGTAAGATATTGACTGCAGATCATGAAGGTGAGAATGTGTTGATTCCTCGAATGAATATGATACCTTCCGATGTTAGGGTTCCGTTTACGTTCCAGCTTAGGCAGTTCCCCCTTATGATTTTGTATGTCATGACCATAAACAAGGGTCGGGGTCGTATATTTTTTTCATTTTGGCATGCTCTTAAAAAAATTGATATTTAGTCATGGCCAGTTATATACTATTATTTTGTGTGTAACTAATATGAAGACGTTGAAAGTATTAGTTTGTGAGGACGATGAGTTGCCCGACAATCAAACTAATAATGTTGTGTATAAGGAGGTTTTTAATAATGAATATTTTTTTATGACAATTTTTTTATGATTACTTGATAAATGCTCTACGTATTATAACTTATTGATTAATAACCTTTAATTTATAACCTTTACCAAAATAAATATTTTTCGTGCATCGCACGTGTTACGTTCTAGTTATAATAAGACACTTGCTTAATGAATTGAAAAAATTAGTACAAATAAATAGTTTACAAAAATTTTAGAATAGAATACTATTAATATGTCTATGATTAGTTAGTATTATGTAACAAAATAAATAAAAATATAATTAATTAAATAATTCAAAATGTAAAATAAATTTTTTCTAACAAATATATATATATGTAATTTATAATATTTTATTATTTATTTTTATGTATGTGCACTATTAGTTAAATATAATAACATCTAGACATGGCTAGTCAACGGCCTGGCCCGACGGGCCTCTCATAGGTAACCCTTGATCGGCCCGCTAAAAACCAAGCGTCGGGTTCGTCGAATCGGTCCGGACCCAGAAACGACCCGTAAGCCACGGTGTCGATTTTCAGAACCGGCAAACTGTCACTGGCAGAATAAATCGAATAGTACGGAGGTACGTATATGATATCTTGTCCCTGGCAACAACCGCGAGTTTTAGCGCTAGCGCACGTGATTTTAATATTTTATACAACCGCTGGATATAATTATGCGCCTTAATAACGAACAAATGATTAGATTAGTCTCTGGATAGAGCTTCTAATCCAGTTTTATTTTATTTTATTCTTTCGCTAATTTCCTGACCGCAAACATTGCAGCCGATCAGTTCATTCCTTTATCGTCTTGAGCTGCGTTTGTATTCATGGACCGGATAAAATTAGGAATCGCTTGGATAGCATTTCTTTTATGGTAAAAGAGTTCGAAAAAAAATCGTATCTTTATCATGCGTTTTAGGGATTAAATTTGCCGATGAGTAGAGTTAATGCTGATTTTGTGAACAAGGGTTTTCGTAGAATCTTGGAATTTCAGTAGATTGTGTAATTTAAAGCAGGGAAAGTAGAGTTGCAGGTCTCATGGGGGCCAATCATAGGGAACAAAAGCTTCCTTATAGCTGAAAAGCCTATTGATTTATATGGTAGTGTTAGCTGTTTCTGAGGTATTTTTTCTTGCCCCTTTTTGCTAAACCTAGAAATGTGGCTAAAAGATCCGTTTTTTGATTCGATTTATGTTTGTGATCTTGAATTGGGTTTTCTTTTTTCCTTTTTCTTATGAATACTATGTATGACTGATTAGTGTTTACTCGTCCTGGTCGTTAAAATTTATCAAAAGCTAAGATATTTGCAAAAAAATAGGTAAAAAAAAAAAAAACAGAGAAATTTGTATTCGTTGGCTTTCTTCAATTGAACTAGGAAATGGTGTGATTTTGGTTCATAAATATTGTATTTATCTTCGAATGGGAAAGCTATATAGTGTGCACTAGATGTTTGAGATAATGCTAATGTAAATAATGACCTGATCTTGCTGCTATTTTTCATTCACTGGGCTAAAAGAGGGTCTTGTTTCTTTTTTATAATGCTAGTATCACAATGGTTTCGTGCAATTGTGTCCTTTCTTCGCGCAATGTTTCGGCTAGGTATGTATGCTGACATCAAGTTACAACGCCATAGTGTTTTCTTGATGATACAAAAGTGATAAGCCTGATACAGGTCATGTTTGTGATACTGATGTTTTGATCAAACAGTAGTTAATATCTTCAATAGTGAACAACCACAAATAATAATTTCTTGAAGAACTGATTGTTGCAGTATTGCTGTTTGTTTATTGCACCTTTTGTTTAATTTCTTTGTTTAGATTTTGTTTAAATCTCCTGGTTACTTTATCTTTCATGATTGGAGAAGTTGATTTATATTAATGACCTATTGTTCCTCTGTCAGGAAGGAAAAAGAACATTTAATAAAGAGGTATTATCTTTTAATTAATATGTGGCCTGATTTACAATTAGTGTGTATTAGTTTCTGGAATACTTCATCCTTTTTCTCTCACAATGTTCCTTCGTGGTATGTCTATCATCATCCTATATCTTGTTATATCAGTTGAATGTTAATTCAGATATGCATTATCTTTCATTTGTGCAAGCTTAGATGATATTTTTGGATGCTATCATGATGGAGAACAAACCCGAATGCCACGATCAAGTGAGAAAATGCTCATCAATAATCCCGACACGTTTAATTGATGATATCATAAACTCAGTCTGTGATTAAGGTTATTTTATGAGCAAGTCTCGGTAAGCTGACACGCATTACAATTTGTGCAATCATACAATTAAGTTCTTGTGTACGAGCCACGAGGACCAGTAGAATTCTTGACTGCTTACTCACTCTTTGATTCATGAGCATCTTCTTATTTTCCAAATGCTGTCGTTTGCCTTTCTTAATTTTTAGACGATCATTTTGGCAATAGAGCATGTCTGACATTTTCGTTTTTCTCCCTTTTAGCTTCTCTCCATTTGGGGCTCAGTTTTGCCGTTTTCTTCTTACTTGAGTTCTTGGTATCAAACCCGAAAATTGCTCTTGCTCGTAAAGGCCAGAAGGTCGTAGCCCGTCATGGAATCGTGGCTACTGATGAAACAGAATGCTCTAAAATCGGACGCGATATACTTCAACGAGGAGGCCATGCCGTTGATGCGGCTGTGGGGGCCACACTCTGCCTGGGGGTCGTCAGCCCATCCTTCAGTGGTCTTGGTGGAGGAGGGTTTATGCTGGTCAGGTCATCTAATGGCGAAGCAAAAGTGTTCGACATGAGAGAAATAACACCCGGACGAGCTTCCAAGGTACATTTATTGACCAACATCTTCTCTCTCTCTCTCTCTCTCTCTCTCTCTCTGTGGCCTACATCACCAAGGTCAAAAAAGAAAGTGCACTTCTGTAGTACTTACTTGGCATGGCATGAGCTGAATGTTACTTGATTTTCAAAGGAAATGTTTGATCGGGACCTTTCAAAGTGGAAAACTGGTCCTCTGTCGATAGCTGTGCCGGGACAGCTTGCCGGGCTCTACACGGCCTACAGGAAATACAGAAAGCTTCTATGGGAATCAATCGTGAGGCCAGTCGAGAATCTCGCCCGTGACGGTTTCAACATCTCAAAATCCTTCTTCATGTCATTGTCCCATGCAAAGTCAGTTGTCATGGCTGACAAGGAGCTTAACATTCGCCCCAAATGGGGAGCTTTTGTTTCCCGGAAAACTCGTCCGAATGGGAAAATTGGCAAACACATTGGAAGCCATAGCGAAATGGGGAATGAACATTTTCTACAATGGGTCCATGGGAGAGGCCCTGGCCAAGGAAATTCAAAAGTTCGGTGGAATAATTACGAAAGAAGACTTCCAAAAGTATTGGGTTGTTCAACGGAGACCTTTGGTGGCCCGAGTGATGGGTTACAAATTAGTGACGGTGCCGCCTCCTGCTTCAGGGGGTGCCATGATATTTCTTGTAAGTTTGTTTTCTTTTACATAGATTTTTTCAGCGTGTGCTATGAAATTTTGAAGGAATCATTTTTTTTTTCTTTTTTCCTTTTGTACAACAGATTTTGAACATTCTCGCTAATTACAACTGCAAAAGTGCTACTAGCGTTCCCATGTCGTTGGCTATGCATCGTCTTGTTCAGGCATTTAAATACGCCCTGGCTCAGAGGATGGATCTTGGAGATCCTGCATTTGTGAATGTCACTTGTGTCTTGAAAAACATGACCTCTAAAAGATATGCCCGGAAGTTGAAAAATCTTATAGACGACAACAAAACATTTGATTCTGCTCATTATGATAGCAAGTGAGCGTCTCCATCCCTCTTCTCACTCATATCAAATGACAATAAGAAATTTTTTATTGCTGTCAATATGGTAGCAAGCGGTTTTCTTATCTGAATAAATTCTGACAACAATACTCAAGATTTCTCCTCTGTGATTGTCATAAAAGTTCATATTTATTCTCATTTGTGAAATCGGTTGGTTTTTTGTTAACAAGTTCAGTGGTTCCGTTAATTTCAACTCATTCCTTATTCAGTCATTCAATATTAACTTGTTAGTAATCGAATTATGCTCTTGTATGAGCACAGAGCATATATCTGCTATGTTTCTATACTTCAGCCATAGCAACAGATATTATCGCGCATTGGAAAAAGATTATTATATTTGTTCAGTGATGGCCATGCCGTCGTGTTTTCTACAAACTTTGCCATTTATAGTATGGCGGTAACTTTGTCATAGGATGTTATCTGTTACACATTTTCTCAATAAACGACGCTTTCTCAGTTGCTTGTGACGTGCCTGAAATAGAAAAAGTTGATTCAACCACCAGTTGTTGATGATAATGGTGCACGCAATTCATAAATTTAAAATGCAGGTGGAGTTCGGTGCACGATCACGGGACAACCCATATTTGTGTGGTGGATGATAAACGTAATGTTGTTTCAATGACATTAAGTCTGAACACACTATTTGGGTCGAAACTGGTATCACCAAGTACTGGGATATATCTGAACAATCAAATGTACGATTTTTCCATCCCCATATCAACCGTCCCTCCACCAGCACCGGCCAATTTTATTCAACCATTTAAGAGACCTTTGTCGTCAATGGGGCCTACCATTCTTCTGAAGGCAAGAATTCTGTTTTCCACTTTTCTTATTTAATAACTATGCAGAAGAAACATATCTATAATATGTAGTGCTAGATGTTAATTAATTTAAGTCTTTAAAATTGGAACTGAAAATATATGCAATCAAATTTTAATTGCTGGTTTCATATTTAGTGATGACGAGCATAAATAAATTTATCAGCATTTTTCGTTTTTAAAACATTGGATTTGAGATTTTTCATGCTGCTGCTTCATAATAATGCATCGATATATTTTTATGGAATATTATAATACTTAATACATATTATGCTTCTTAGTTCCCTCATACACGGCAAACGATCTTTCACATATTTGGACCTCCCAACTAATTGGGTTAAGGAAGTTAATTAATGCAATGTCCATGTTACTACTCAAATTTCAATTATATTGGAACAGAAGCTACATATATATCTCAACCATCTGTTTTGCAATTAAAATTGCGACATTTGAATATGTGAAACAAGACTCAACTCAAAACATTTTTGTTTTAGCTTTATGCGGCTCGTTAATTCTTTCTGACAACAAAATTTCCAGGATGGAAAGGTAAAGGCAGTGATAGGTGCAGCCGGAGGTTTGCTAATACCCGATGCCGTGACGCAGGTGTTAATGAATCACCTAAAATATAGAATGGATACGTTTAGTGAGGTCAAGGCTGCAAGATTTTACCACAAGGTGAGACTATGTTGCCCATTCACTTTTTTTTGCCTTTCAGACCAAGTTCAAGAATGCATATTGCTTTTGCTCCTCAACAGTCTATTAAGTAGTTTATGATGGCAGCTAATATACCAAATGATATGGTGCAGCTAAATCCGAATGTGCTCTACCTTGAGAACTACACATCAAGGTTTGGAGATTACTATGGATATAATTCTAGCATACAGGCCGAGTTGAGACAAAAGGGCCATGCCTTGGAAGGGGCTTGTCGTTGGACATCGTGCCAATTTGTGATTCAAATGTTTAAAGGTGCGAATGCTGGAAAACTCGTTGCTGTTAGTGATCCGAGAAAAGGTGGGTTGCCAGCTGGGTATTAGTGCATGATTCTGTTTCATTTGTCTTTAAAGAAACAGAGTTCAGTACAAAATTTATTTTCTATTTCTGATATTTGATAAGAAGGTAAAATATTTTCACTTTAGTATAAGCATGTACTTGGATGAGTTGTTACGTGACATTCCCGTGTGTGTTATGTGAGATAATATTCGTTGAACAATCGAATGATCTGGACGGAGTTTTGCAGTTTGTAACCTGCATAATGCTGCCTTATTTCTGCTTTAATGTTAATAATCATTGTATACTTAAGTTTTAAGTTAATTTTCTTCAGTATGCTGAAGGTCTTTGATGATTTTACTTATTTCTGTTGAATTGTTTGTGGTCGTTGTTTGGTGATTTGCGGCTAATTTTGGAGAAATAGACTAAGACTAAGGGCTAGTTTGCGATTTTAGAAGTTTTGGTTAATTACAGTTAAGTCCTTGGGGGTGGATCTGTAATTTTCTAAAATATGAATATTGATGTTTTGTATTTTATATCTATTTTAATAGTAAATGTAAATCGAGTACAAACCAATGTACAGTGTATATAGAATCCTTTTCGGGATGTACCTTCCATTGTGTTTCAGATGGAATTTTTATGTGATCTAATGGTTACAAATCACAACAGGAAGCTAACTACATAATTTCCCTTCTTATCTTTATATATATATTTTTTACTTTTTACCTTTTTTAGGTGATATATCATCAAATTTAATGATTAACAGAGTACTCAGTTTGGAGTATTACCAAAATATACTCTGTCTAATGCCCAATGAAAATTGGAAAAACTGACCATTGCACCTTTGTGATGTTGTTGCCTAGTAAATTATTCATTCTTTTCTCATATTTATTAGAATTTTATTTTTTATAGTTGAAAACAGTGACAGAAAACAACTTCATGGACTGTCTTCAAGGCCTTGTACATTCCCTGTATATGTGTCTCTGGTTGCATGATTTGTTGAGCAGCAATAATCCATTTCATAAGAGAGTAGAGTTTCTGTCTTGCTTAAATGGACTTAACATCTAAACGTAGTTTGAATCATAGAATCCACTGCTTCCCGCCTTTCCACAGTGTGGCAAAAATTATTTGGTCATGATTGGCTTTTAGACATAATATGTAGCTATGAAGCTACTAAAAAGTAAAAACTAATCTCGGAAGACTTTTTGCCTGTAATCTCAAATTAAAAACCGTATATTATGTTAGATCTGTATTTTGAAGCCTTCAATTTTTATATTTATTAAGATATGTATCATTCTGAACCGAACCATGATGATATCGGTTCCGTCCTTGATGTGGCATCAACAATTTGGGGAAATTACACTTTCCACCTCATTTGTACGTTTCCTTACACATTCCCAATCAAACTACTGTCTGTCACTTTTCACGATCCAAGTCGGAATCTTGGCTGCAGAATATGTATCAAGATTCTACGACGTTCGTGTCGCATAATAATTGCACTGAACTTCCCAAAAATTTCATAGTAGCTCAATTCCTGATCATCTCAAGTGGACTTGTGGTTAAGTGTGGTGAATGGAAGCTAATGACATGTGAAAACCTATCTTGTTCGGACTACAAATTGAACTTTCCTCCAATATATATAATTCCATTTTCTCTTGCTACATCGATTGCTCACACAAGAAACTTCCTTGTTGTAATTTGTTTATATTGTTCATGCAGGAATGAAGCTCTGAAGATTTGGCGCCATGATAATAAAATCCCAGCAATATGAGGTAATGTTGAATTGCTTTTGCCCTGAAAGTCGGTCCCGCTATCACCTCTTTCATCATTCTGGATAATCTCAGATTTAACTGTTGATCAAGGACTTGCATCGGTGAATTAAATTCCATCACTTTACAGCTTAACTAATCATTAATGATTGGATCCTAATGAAAAAGGATTGGATTATCTGTAGGTTTCTTTTGTTTATTTCTCCTTCCTGATTAAAGAAGTTGACGGTGATGATAAACACAATGTTCCTTTGTTACAAAGAGTTAAAAATATTTAATGTTAAGGGTTTGCTGATATAATTGATGTACATTTAACTCAATGAAGGTCTAATCTACTACTAGTGGGTATCTGCAACTGAAATAGAGAGAGGTCATTCACTTTTTTTTAAGTTAAAAACCTTCATTAATATGCAATATTTTCCATGTAGGAATCCGATTGTCGAGAGCCATGCTGTTTTGTTATTCTCTCCATTTCGTACACTCAACACGGCTTTAAAGGATATGATGGAAAACATAATTGAGGGTATGTATCTTTCTCCTTCAGCTCGTTTTCTTACAGTTGATACTTAGGATGATGATAACAAAGGGTAATGATTGATGGAAATTAATGTGAATGCCATATTATTGGGAGAAACTGTTTATTCATTATTCCTGCATATATTTTAGTTACTAATAATTTAAACAAAATTACAAATCTACATCATTTATAATACCTAATTTTAAGTATTATTATGATGTAGTAAATATGTTATTGTAAAAAATAATGAGTAAAGTTTTTAGTAAATATGAATCAAATTGATGAATTAAATAAAGTAACTGAGAAATATGTGGGGACCATTAAAAGAAGATTTGTGAGATTTATGGTTATTAGAGATTTGCAATATTAAGAGCATCTACAATGCATCTAATTTTTGCCTATATGACATGTAAATAAACTCAAGTCTTGAACGACATGGATAAAATTAAGTAAAATTGATAAAAATCTCTCCAATGCAAAAGGACTAGGTGTCTACTTGAGTCTAAAATAGACTTAAGGGTAAATTGGGTATCTTTTTCTGGCAGCCACATCAGCAACACTCAGTCTCCTTTTGTTTGTATTGGAGAGTACATTTTTTAGACTAGGTCTCTTACTTAGGCATACAATTTTTTGTTATTGAACCCAAAACATTGTGGATGCTAAGAATAAAAAATGAGATTTTAATGACGTGGAATATTGAAAATGTAAAAAAAGGTTTGTAAAACAAAAGGACCACAATCTTTCTACACCTTGTAAAGTCACCTCAAGCGGTTGCTTTCACTGCTATTGATATTTTACCATTAGTAAGGGGCAAGTAATTATATTTTACATATAGAAGAAAATTTGCTGAATTAATCTATTAGAGGTATCTGGGGAAAGAGTAATTGACCTCATCACACCCAACAATGTATACATTAGCAATATTTCACAGGTCATTTATGTGTGTTTATATTTGGAAATAACAGCCATGCATGTGAGAACCTGTGATAAAAATTGATTTTTTTTGGGAGAAATTTTGTCGTTAATTTGAACAATTTTTATAAAAATACAAAATTTAATTATATCTCCACCTAATGTGTAGTTTCAGATACTCCTTCCTATTTTTATTATTTGGGGCTGATGTAGTATATATTACCCTAAATTGCTGGATAATTAAATTGCCTTCCTTTGCGTCTTTACTTGCTTAATAAATTAATTAGTGCTAATTTAATACTCAATTGGTCAAACATTTTTTATATTTCAAATTAAGAAATAAATATGTATAACCGATAAAAAACGAATTAAATATGTATAGATAATATATTAATTATTTTACAAGATAGCCCTAATATACAAGTGAAAAATATATGATAACTCTATTGATTTTTAGACTTAAACGAACAAAGTCGTTTGAAAATAATCATTTAATATCTATGTCCCGTGCATTGCACGGGGTACGTACTAGTTTTGTCTTAATGGATTACCGATTAAATAAATGTCGTTTTGGCTATTATGTTAATATATTTTTTTTTTTCATTTTTAACCCTCCATCAATGCACAGTGTCTCTTCATATCTCATCTTTCATAGTTTCCCATAACATTCATTAAATAAGGTTAATATTGGCAAGAAAAAAAATTCTTAATTAGCGTGTTGTTTCTCAAAACAACAAATAATAAAAATAGGAGAAAGTATCTTTTAATTCCAACTGCCATGTGTTATTGCAAGCATAGGCTTTTGCTTCTGGTCAATGGCCTCATAGTTATGCCTCTCGTCTTATGCTGCCTTGTTCATTTGTTTGATGTCTTGATATATTTTTTTTTTCTTTAAGAAAACGGGTTGTGGATTGCTTTTAAGACCTATAGCGATATGTAATTGGATCCATTACTAGGAGATTAATTTCCTCTATTACAGATACACAAATGGTCATGTTTACGTAGATGATACATTACTAGGAGAATCTATTACACCAGCCAATTATACAAAGGGTAGAGGCTTAGGTAACATCAAGAAAGTTGCGCTCGCCTTGGATGTTATGGTACGCAAGCTTCGACCTTATTTCTTAGCTCATAGAGTAGCAGTGCGAACAATACCAATTCAATCGATAATATCGTCGGTAATACCACAAATATAATAGCATATATAAATTTTGTATGAAATATGAGATATACAAAATAATGAAATAACTATGACTATGTTTAGTAAAACTAGGTGATAGTTGATAAACTAGCTTATAGCTTATCAGTAATTTTCAAGTTTATATATTTACTATGTCGCAACTTATAGAAAATAAAAATAAGACTATAAATTCAAGTTTCAATTTTTTGTTGAGTTAGTAATCAAATTCATTTTTATTTTTTATATTTTATTTTTTATTTAATTCTTGATCGATATTTTACTTGTATTTTCGGTACAACTCCAAAAATCTTGGGGTTATGGGTACGCACTCGTAATTAGTCATAATAGATAAGATTTTTTTTTTTTTTGGTATTCATTTCAACTAAAAATCTAACTAAATTAGCTCAACATCACTGTCATCAATATTATCACTATAATTAAATAATACAAATCATCTTCCTCTTACATCACATTAATTTCAATTCATTATTTATCTACTCATATATATATTGTACATTATACCTACTTTAATTATTACATTCTAAAAATTATTTAATTACATAATCTTTGTCCAGCTCGTTCAATCAACTTCCTTCAAATTAACTCACAAGTGAGGATCCTCATCCAACTCAGTTTAAGTTAAAATTCAATCAAAATCGATTTTACTGATATTTTACAATGACCCTCAGTAAAATTTGAATCAATGACCTTATCCGATAATTACACTGGCCAATTTGACCTGGTCAATACTCTGTCTTCATCAAAATAATATTAGTTGCAGAGTGGTCCTTTCATTTGCTTTGCATAACTAATAGTTGGTCACATCAGTCGGAGATACCAAATAGGGAAAGATTACAATTTTTCTTGTCCGATCAAAATAAGTACGTCACGGGCGGGAAGACTTAATCACATGGCAAAAAATTTTAACATGAACAACCTTGTTATTAAATAGGGGGAAAGAAGTGAAAGGAAAATATCAAGCCTAAGAATACATTTGCATTGCCTCACTGGTGGCTCATCATATATTTCTTAGGGAGTTGAACTTTCAAGTCTGTAGGCTCTTCCAAGTTTCAACCATCCGGTGACCGGCGGCAACACTCGACAGAGACAGACTGAGGTGCCTTCCGACGATAACTTCTGTGAGTATGTCTGATCTCTTTGAAACTCTGTGAATGTGAGTGTCTGATGAATGAAATTTGAATTCTAAAACTGAAGCCCTACTTTCAGTTTTTTAATTTTAATTTTTATTTCCGCCTAACCCATGACCTTGGCAGGAGTGGCCCGGGCTGGAAATTTATAGGCCCGGCTGGCCCGTCGCCCGTTCTGACATGGTCTAAGATTAAATGACCTGCTAATGCTATATTTTAGTGTCATGAAAATAAGATACCATCATAGATCTATTTTGGTGTCATGAAAATAATGACCTGCTAAGAAAGGATTTTTCCTTCAAAAATTTTGGACTGGAATTAGTTTATAATTAAATGCTTATAACAGTATTTTTAATATTCTACATATATTGACGTCATTATGTGTGAAAATTTTAATTAAATAATTTACTTTAGTTCATGTCTTACATGGAAGATGGATGATTGATTTTTGAAAATGACACCATAGCACAATTAATATATGAATTTAATTTAAATCAAATAGTTTTATAATTTACTTTAGTTCATGTCTTACATATATCTACGTTGTTAGTTCTTTATACTATTTTTAATGTTGCAGCTTTGTCTTTTGTATTTTATGGTCGTAATCTGATCGATCAACATAAAATACGCCAGTTTATTAAAATTATTAGTACAATACTCGTGTATTACGCTAGTACTTGTTACTTGTTAGTAAATTTATCATCATCAACATACCCAGTATATTCCCAACAAGTTGGGGTCTGGGATTGTTAGTAAATTTATATCTAAAATAAAAAATAATGTTTGAATAAAAATTTATATCTAGTACATATGCACAACATACCCAGTATATTCCCAACAAGTTGGGGTCTGGGATTGTTAGTAAATTTATATCTAAAATAAAAAATAATGTTTGAATAAAAATTTATATCTAGTACATATGCACAAGATCAAATATTAGTTATAGAATAAAATTAGCTATAATGCATCAAACTCAAATGAAAATATTTGAAACTAGCATTTGCTACATATTAAATAAACACCTGAAAAAAAAAAGAAAAAAAGAAAGCTAACACCTTCTCTAAGTTAATAATCTTTCATAAACCAAAAGTACATTACACTTTCAAATTTAATTTGCTCTTTATCATCCCATCATTACAAATTAACACAAACGTATTGATCACGAGCTCATTTTATTTCAGGAGAGTTTTTAATGACGTCTAACATTGGGAGCACCAGTCAGCCCCCACCCTTCGTAGACATTGAGATGGTTGAGATGGGGACGCCACCAAGACATTCATNACACACATGCATCAATCGAGATTGTAGGAACATCAGTCGAGACTGTAGGAACATCGGTCGTGACACATGAGACTGATTTTTCTTTTGGTGCACCAAATTATTGGACGTGGGCGTGGCGGAAGATTCTGACGGCGATTGTTTTCGTGGGGCTTATTGCTGTTGTAGCCATACCGACGATATTGTTTTTTGTCATAATAGATAAATTTATTTGATATTTAATAAATAAATTTATTTTATATTTAAACAATTTTAGTTGTTTATATTGTAAGGAGTAAATGTATTATTATTTGAAACAATAAACAATTTAGTTGTTTATATTATAAGGAGTAAATGTATTATTATTTGAAACAATTTATTTGTTTATATTATTTATCAGTAACAAAGTAAATTAGGAGTAAATGTTATTAAAATTATGGAGGAGTAAATGTTATTAAAATTATGAAATTACATTTATGTACTTGAAAGCTAGATTTGTAGAGGGTAATATGGGCATTTCAATTTTTCAAGAAACAAATCATACTTAAAGAGTTATAAATATAAATAAATTATAAATATAAAATATATATAAATAAATTTTAAATTATAAATAAGTGGTAAATATAAATAAATATAAATATAGATATAGATAGATTATAGATATAGATATGATGGAAAACATAGTTGAGGGTCAGTATATTTCTTCCTTAGCTTGTTTTTCTTACTGCTGTTATAGGGTGAAAATGTTTATTGCATTTATCCTGTAATTTTCCAGGGCATTTATGAACATTCATATTTTTTTATTTTTTTTACTTTTTTTTAAACAGTTTGCCACTTCTTACTCCTGCTGTTTTCATCGAGTCCCAAAACGGCCAATGCTTCTGTTGGCGGAAGTGTCGTGGCACGGCGTGGCGTAGTGGTCACTGATGAAACTGTGTGCTCGATAATCGGACGGGCGGCTCTGTATCGAGGCGGGCATGCTGTTGATGCAGCAGTGGCCGCCGCATTTTGCCTAGGTGTCATCAGCCCGTCTTACAGTGGCATTGGCGGCGGAGGATTTATGCTCGTCCGACGGCCAATCAGAATGCGAGAAATGGCTCCCCAACGAGCTTCCAAGGTAACATTTGTTTTCTCGATAATTATGAGAAGTTCAAATAGCATTGTGTTCAATCACACATCAGTAGTGTTACATGTTCCGTAGATGAAACTTTTTTCGTGAATTTTGCTAGGACATGTTTCGTAGCGATTACATGAAGCAGCAGATCGGCCCTCTATCCATAGCCATTCCAGGACAAGTTGCGGGCAAAGCCCACTCAAAATACGGGAAACTCAAATGGGAATCGCTCGTGAAGCCAGCCGAGAATCTCGCGCGCAACGGCTTCAACATCTCACACTCCCTCTTCAGGTCCCTGAAGGGCTTCGAGCCGTACATCCTGGCCGACCCAGGGCTCCGAGCTATATTCGCGCCGAAAGGGAAGCTCCTTCCATTGGGAAGCACCGTACATTTCGTGAAGCTGGCAAACACGCTGGCAGCCTTATCGAAAAATGGGCCGGGCGCATTTTACAACGGGCCGATTGCAAGGAGCCTGGCCAGAGATATTCAGGCGGCGGGTGGGATTCTCACGCTGGAGGATTTGCAGAGATATCGTGTCGTGATTAGGTCACCTTTGGTCGCTAACACGATGGGTTATCAGTTCATTACGAGCCCTCCACCTGCTTCGGGAGGTGCCGTCATGATTCTCGTGAGTAAATTTGAATTTCGACGAATCCTTGAGAAAAAAAAAAAAAAAAAAAAACTCAGCCTTTCTTATACGCTTTTGTGGATAACAGATTATGAAGATTCTTTCGAACTATAACATGACTGGTGTGCACATCACCTTGGTGATTCATCGTCTGATCGAGGCGCTGAAATTCGCGCTTGCTCTCAGGACGAATTTTGGAGATCCCGATTTTGTGAACGTCACTAGTACCTTGGAAACCATGATCTCGACAAGTCATGCGCAAAAGTTGAAGAGCTTGATAAATGACAATAAAACATTCGATCCGACTCATTATGGCAGCAAGTAAGCATTGATGTGAATCATGTTATAAAACAAGGGCGCTATTATCGAAGTATAATATATCTATATTTTTCTGTCTTTCTAATTGTTAGTAATGCAGGTGGGGTCAGGTATACGATCACGGAACGACTCATGCATGTGTCGTGGATGAAAAACGTAATGTTGTTAGCATGACGATGAGTCTAAACTCTTACTTTGGTTCGAAGTTTGTGTCACCAAGTACAGGCATATTTCTCAATAACCAAATGTATGATTTCTCGATCCCGAATAGAGGCACCCTACCACAATCGCCTGCAAATTTTATTCAGCCGTATAAGAGGCCTTTGTCTTCCATGGCGCCTACCATTATTCTCAAGGTAAGAAATCTTCACATCAGATACATCCCTTTGTTTACTTAAAGGTGAAAAAGCAATGTTCAATTTGTCATGAAAAGAAGTAGTGTCGCCTTTTGTTTTTCTTTCGATTTTGCAAATGGAATCTATAGTTTTTTGCGCGCCTATTTATTAGAAAAAATAATTTTTCAGGGAACACAGGTGAAGGCGGTCATAGGGGCTGCCGGGGGATTGATGATACCTAATGCAGTCACTGAAGTTTTGGTAAATTACTTTCACCTTCGCATGAATCCACTTGGTGCCGTTCTTGCCCCAAGATTTTATCACACGGTAAGAGGACCAACCATCACTTCTATCTCTCGGTTTTTGCTTAGCAACCGACTCTATTTATTTAAGCTCGTTGTTATATAGTTTAACCGAAAATATTTCCATGGTGAAGCTATATCCGAACGTGCTTTACCATGAGGAGTACAGCTCTGCAGGGAGTGATAAGTACTCGTGTGGACCGGAGATTTTGAAAGGACTGGAAAATAAGGGCCACATGCTGCAAAAGGGGCATGGCTGGACTATTTGCCAGTTTGTGGTTCAAAACTTGGAGGGTCCAAATTCCGGTAAGCTTATGGCGGTTACCGACCAGAGGAAAGGGGGTTCTCCGGTCGGATATTGACGATTATCATCTTCTTCGTCCTCTTCAAAAGTCGAGCTATTAACAATCAACTGTGACAAACAAATAAAAGGGAAAAACTTGAATCCCTATATTGTCATCTGAATGCATGATCTTGGTCTGTATGTAATTGCAGACATGTTCATGTGAAAATTGCATAGTTTTGTTATTCACTAATTATTATTCACATGTTCATGTGAAAATCCCATATATATATATGGGATTATGATGTTTATAAAAATGAATGGAAATCTTTCCAGGTCTTGAAACAGGGCAGCCCATATTTTTGTGCTTTTTAACAAAAATGATTGCAAAAATAAAATCAAAAGGCATAGATTTAACTGTTTTTCAATCAAACACAGTAAGTCCTTTGCTAAGGGTGCACCCATCTATGCATAAAAACATGTGTTTTAGAAGTACAAATAAAATTACTCCACCTTCTTTCCAACTGTTTCTTTATTGAGCTATGCTTTGTTTGTATTTACCTATACTTGAAATCATATACGTTACAGTTTGTCCACCAACACCAAAAGCACTACCTTTTTGTAAGAATAATTTTCAGAAATTAAATCAATTCATCAAAAATTACCTTTAGTCAGATCCCAGTCATAATCTATCCCAGGAGGTATCCAATTGTTCACGCCCATGAAGCCTCTTAAGGGAAATTCAGCAGCACTCTCAACACTAGGCAAGCACAAGTCGGTCACCACCGTCTATAGACATAGAGATGGTTTAAGCAGGCCCTTCATTTGTACGACCAAAACTCTCTCTCGAGTCCCAAGCATCAACCGGTACACCACTTGAGTCCAAGCATCAGTCAAGGCTCATGCATCAGACTTTTTTGTCAGCACACCTATTCTCAACCCTTCTGAAGGTGGCCAAGGATTCTAATAGTGACAGCTGTGGTGGGGGTCAGACTTTTTTTGTCAACACACCTATTCTCAACCCTTCTGAAGGTGGCCAAGGATTCTAATAGTGACAGCAGTGGTGGGGGCAATAATTGTCGCTAGTGTGATGGTGACGATTCTTTTGGTCTCACAAAAATCCAGCAGCACTCTCAACACTAGGCAAAGATAGATTATATGATAAAGATATTTTTTTATAGGCTCTCAATTTCTTATATTTTCAAAAATCTTATACAAGTAAGTGTTTGGAGGAGGACCATCAAGGTAATAGCCACCAACATAACTGTCCAAGGAGGATTGTAAAACTACAACATTCCCGAAATTTCCAAAATCTCCCTCCTAAATTTTAGCACCAAATTCGAGTTTAGTTATCAGTAGCAACATCTTGCCATCTGCCACACTGAGTACGTCTTCATACTTGTATTTGAGTTTGACATATATATTTTAATATCATCACTGTTTTAAATTACGATAACGATTTGGAGAAGGCTTTCTCACGCAGGATCAGACAATCGCGAACAAAAATGAGTATGAATTAGTGGTGGAGAATTTCGGGGACAAGACTGTTTTTTCCAGTGTACGTTAAAAGCATTCAGTATTACACTGCATATGGAAGGAATTAGACAATTTTATCGGAGTTGCGCATTTCACGGTAAAACTAGTTTAGTGTCTGATTTGTGAATTTCTTATTCGAGAGGTGCGAGATTTTTAACATTAAATCATATCCCCAAGATAGAACTTTTTTTTTTTTCCACACAAACACCACCCAGGCCATATTATGATTATACATTCATTTTCCAACTTTTCCGCTCCACGTCCTCACAAAATCCTCACTTTGCTCGTTGTTCGAAAGGTGTTCTTGAATTTTGTGAGGACGTGGAACGAGCAAAGGTGGAAAATGAATGTGTAATCACTGCCTGAGTGATGTTTGTGTGAAATAAAAAGTTGTATTTTGGGGATATGATTTCATGCTAATAAACTTGCATCTCTGGAAGAAGGAATCCTCAAAACTAGACAATAAACTAGTTTTACCATGAAAAACGCAAATCCGATAAAATTGTCTAATTCCTTCAATATACAGTATGGTATTAAATGCTTTTAATGTACACTGAAAAAAAACAAGTTTGTCGCCGAAATTCTCCACCGCTAATCCATACGCATTTCTGTTCACAATTGTCAAATCCTGCGCGATAAAGCCTTCGCCAAGGATCGTTATTGCAATTTAAAACAGTGAGAATTTTATATATGTATATCAAACTCAAATACAAGTTTGAAGATGTACTCAATGTGGCAGATGACAAGATGCTGATAACTATACTCGAATTTGATGCTAAAATTCAGGAGGGGATTTCGGGAGTGTTGTAGTTTTACAATCATCATTAGACAGTTCTGTTGGTGGTTATTACCTTGGTTGTCCTCCTCCAAACACTTGTTTGTATAAGTTTTTAGACAATATAAGAAATGGAAAGCTTATAAAAAATATCTTATCATATAATCTGTCCCTGCCTAGCGTTGAGAGTGCTGCTGGATTTTCGTGAGACCAAAAGCATCGTCGCCATCACGCTAGTGACAATTATTGCCCCCACAACAGCTGCCACTATCAGAATCCTTGGCCACCCTCAGAAGGGCTGAGAATTGGTGTGCTGACAGAGGAGTCTGATGCATGAGCCTCGACTAATGCTTGTGACTCAAATGGTGTACCCGCTGATGCTTGAGACTCGAGAGAGAGTCTTGGTCGTACAAATGAAGGGCCTGCTGAAACCATCTCTATGTCTACATACGGTGGTGACCGACTTGTGCTTGCCATGTCAGACGACACGATGAATCTACTGAAGCCACAAGACAAGTTTCATATGGATTAGAAGCAATGTTGCTACATTAGAGTAAATTAGTCTCACTATTTTTGCTTTACTAAAATAAAACTAAGTTCTATAAAGAAACATGGACACACCAAAAAATAATTCAGAACATGCTCCACAGTCTCCTAGAGAAGATACTAATTATTTGTAGAAGATATGCCTTCAGACAACAAAACAAGTCGTTTCTGTGCATAAAACACAAATGAAAATAGAAATTTCACCAATTTAATAGCTTTCACTTTTCAGATTTCACCAAATCAATAGCTTCAAAAACCAAAAGTATATTACACATTCAAAGTTAATTTGGGCTTTATCACCCCATTACTAACCCAAATGTGTCGATCATGAGCTCGTTTTATTTCAGGAGATTTATCATGAGCTGGGGCTCAAGGTCCTCGTGGTCGGCTTAACCAAGGCCTCGTCAATTATCGGTAGCAGCATCTTGTCATCACAGACACTAATAGCTGTGGGCCTACTTCGGGCCCTGGACAGGAACGAACGATTTATTGTTCGAAAAAAGGGGCTCCTTCCTCAAGAACTTGAATCCCTTAAGATGTTTTTCTTCTCTTTAGTTTGAGATCAATAGCTTGGGATGTTAATGGTAGCTTTTTGGAGATATCAGAGATGTATAAACCTCATTTTCAAGGATGAGAATTTAGGGAATTTGTTGTCTTTCCAAACCTTACATTAAAAGCTTCAATTGGGGCCCGCCATGTGGGCTTCTTTCTATTTGCTCTTCATTTTTTTTATTTTTATTTTTATTATTCCTTTTTATTTTTTCATTTTGTTTGTCATAAACTTTCCAATTTCTCCTAATTTTCTGTTTCAACATTATAATAATTAAAATAATTATTGAAATAAATTAACTATTAAACAAAATTACAAACCTACATCATTTATAAAAAATTATTTATAAAAAGTAATATTTAGTGTTATTATGATGTAATAAATATATTATTGTAAAATCTCATGAGTATAAGTTTTTAACAAATATGAATTAAATTGATGAAAAAAAAAATAAGTTACAAATATGGGGGCCCATTAACAAAACATTAAAGTTGGTCATGAAGTTTGAACAGGTGGGTCAAACTCAAAAGGACCACAATCCTTCTGCAACTTGTAAAGTGACCTTTTTTTT